ATAAAAGAATTCTAACTCCTGTCCCAGAATCCTGGTGGTGGGTGCAAAATTCCCTTGGTCCTGACCTGAGAGTGCTGGTTCCTCTCTTGCCAGTGTGGATGGAAATGCCGTTGGGCTCAGGGCGGGCCCCACGTTCCCTGGGGAGCCCCCGCCAGGACGCCGAGGGGTCTCAGCCCCAGAGGTCCCGTGTCGGAGTTCACTTCCACCACGCGGGAGTGAGCTCCGGGGTCGGCAGGAGCTCCTCCGCAGGCGCGCGCGTCCGGTGGACGGCAGTGTGCGGGCGTGACTCCCCAGCCGGGCGGCCGTGCCAGCCCTGCCCAGTGTCACAGCGCCCGGCTCTCCGCCGCCTCCCCTCGGACTCGCCGGGCGCCGGGCTTCCTGCTGCTGCGTCCCCCTGGGCTCGCGGCCCCCCTGCCCCGTTCAGACTGCAGGGGGTAGTTGGGGGGCTGAGGCCCTGCTTGCCCCCACCCGCTTCTGTGGCTCTGGTCCGGGGCGGGGGCTGTGGGAGGGGAGGGGCACCCAGCACAGCTGCAGCCACTGTGCCCGCCCCCCTGCCCCGCAGGCCACCTGCAGGGCCTCGGCCAGGGCCTCTCTGCCCGTCAGGACCCCCGTGCCACCCCCCTTCCCCACCCCCCAGCTTGCGAGGGAGGCCGAGCAGGAAGTGGGGACTCCCACCCTTGGGTTCCCACTGCGGCTGCGGCCCTCCCCTCCCCGTGACCGTGGAGTAGAAATCTGAGCTTGGGGCCTCCCTTCCCACGCTTGCAGGGGAGGCCCCTGGGAACCCTCCATGTGCCTTGTGCCTGCGGCCCCGCTGTCCCTGTGCCCAGGTTGCGGCCTCCTCCCCGAGGACGGCTGCCTGGCCTGGCGGAGGCTGTGGCGTGGCCTCGCCCGTGAGCGGTCCCGGTCAGTGGTGCCTGTCGTGGTGTTGGAGGCTCGGACAATGCCCGCTGGTAGGGGCCCCTCTGGCCCCGAGCCGGTCATGTGGCCCTGACCCCAAAGCCCTGTGAAGAGGGGAAGGCATCGTCCCCATTTTCTAGAAGGGGGCAGGGACTCCCAGGGCCAGCCTTCGTCAGGCGAGCAGAGGGTGGGTGCGCGGCCAGGCCTCCAGATCCTGAGGGAGGACGGTGACTGAATCCCAGACCTCACGGGCCGGGGGTGGGGCTCTGTGGAGAGAACGGGGCTCTGGCGCGACTCCGGCCTGCGCCCCGATCCGGCCTTCCCCTCGATCCGGCCTTCCCTCTCCGTTTGTGGCACAGGATGGCAGCCTCGTCCCGCAGGAGATGGCGGGGGGTCTGAGGCCCGGCACCGCGTTCCCGAGCCTGCCCTGCGGCCTGGGTGCTGGGCCGCAGGATGGGGCATGTGTGTAGATGTGGACGGGAGGCATCTGCACGGTTGGCCCCCGTCCCCGTGGCCCTTCAGTGCCCACGTGGCCCGGTGCCCGTCCGGGCAGCCGCAGGAGCTCAGGAGGCGGGTCCTGGGGCAGCGCGGCGGGAGTGACGCGCTCCGCCTCCCGCCAGGCTCAGGGCCGGGCGTGGCTGGCCAGTGTCTCCCCGTGGCACAGGGGGGTCCCGGCCGTGGGAAGTGGGGGCGACTGCGCCTCGGGTGCCAGGCGTGGGCGGAGGCTGTGCCCGCTCCCTTAGTGTCCGGTCTTTCAGGCAGAAGGTGTTGCTGCGCCCCCGCTCCGGGGGGGAGCAGAGGGGACAGCCGTGTGGTCTCCGCTTGCGGGGAGACTGTCCGCTGAGTTCCCAGCATGCTTCAGGTTCTGCCAGCTGTGGACACAGGTGCCTCGGCCACGACCTGTGCCCCAGGTTTTATAGCCTGGGCAGGAGACAGGCAGTTTTCTGCTCGGCCTTCGTGGGGTCCCGGCCGCTGAGGGGAACTGTGAGCGGGGCGCCCAGGCCCGGAGAGTCTCTGGTGCAGGAGAGCTGCCTTGGGTCCGCAGGTGGCGTGGAGGCTTGCAGGTGAGAGACCCGCAGGTCAGACCCCAGCCTGCGGGACAGCTTCACGTCCGGGGAGAAGGGGAGACGTGGGAGCCGCTCGGTCCGTCTTTCAGGCCACATGTGTGTGCTGAGCGCCTGCTCCATGTCAGACTGTGTCAGGATGTGATGTCAGCGCGGCGGCAGAACAGCAGCCGCCAGGGGTGTCCGCGTCCTGATCCCGGGCCCACGCTGACCTTACGTGGCGGCGGAGTGTGTAGGTCACTGATCAGCTGCCCTTCAGACGGGGAAACATCCTGGATCACGTGGGCGAGCTCAGGGGGTCATGGGGCTCCTGACGGGACAGAGGACACAGGAGAGGGCACCCTGGGGATGCTGTGTGGCTGGGAGCTGGACGCGGCGAGCACGGCTTCGGCCTGGAGCCTCCGGGGGGGTCGCAGCCCACCGACACCTCGCTCTGAGCCCAGCGAGGCCTCGGGTGCGCAGGGGCGCCGTGGCCGTGTTTTAGGCCCCCAAGTTTGTGCCAACCTGTTATGGCGGCTGTACACTCTGGCCCCAGCTATGCATGCACAGCGCACGCAGGGCGGCGGAGCAGGGGCCTGGGGCGTGGTGGGGTCGAGAAGGGCACCGGGTGAGGCTCCCGGCAAGACGCCCGGCGGTAGTGGCCCGAAGATCACATCCAGGTTGGCCAGCCGGAAGGGCAGCCTGTCGAAGGCTCGGGCCCCGGGGTGCTGAGCTCTAGGGGTGCCGGCCGCGCTCAGAGCGCTGGGCAAGGAGAGTGGGGACCGAAGGCCGAGCGGGGCGGCATCCCCGGGACATAGGAGCCGCTGGGGCCCGCACGGGGCTGTTTGGTGGCTGCGGCAGCCAGGGGAGGGGGTGGAAGGGCTGAAGGGGGCTCGTGCTAATGCCCGGGGTGCCACTTGGGTGGGTGGGACCTGGGGCCCCGGGCGTGGGAGGGCTGGACACAGCTGGACCCCGTAGAGACCCTGCAGAGCTGGGGGGTGTGGCTGCAGAACGTGTGCTAGGTTTTCAGTTAAGGTGCCAGGAGAGTGTCTGGAGCCTCATGGTGACTGGTCAGTGTAGTTCCCGTCACCATCTCTATCACCATCACCATCTTGGCCATCGTCCGTGACCCTCACGTCACATCCTGCCTGTCGGCTCGCTGTGCTGCTCCCGCGTGCCCCGGCTGCCCCTCCCTGGGCCGGACAGGTGTGCAGCGTGCCCTCCTGGGAGCCCCCCGAGAGCCGGAGAAGCAAAGTGGGGAGCGGCTCAGCTGGGAAACGGACCCTGGGGGTTGGAGCGAGGGCCACTGGGGGCCGGCGGGCAGGCCTGGCCCTGCAGGGCTTCCTTCGGGTCCTTGTGAGGCTGGGCTTGGGGCACAGATATTGAAGGGGGGGTGGGGACGGGGCTTCGGAATGGACGCGTCGATGCTGATGTGAGTCGCTGTTAAGGCGCAGGGAGCAGAGAATGTCCGGTCGCCCCGGAGGGGCGGCAGGGGCTGGGCGGGAAGCGCTAAAAATAGGTCCAGAGGACAGCGCTGGGAGAGGCCGAGTCGGGAACTCTGCCCACAGTCCGCTTCTGAGTGCACCCCTGCCAACCCCCCGCCCACCCCTGGCGGCTGCCCTGAGCTGCCGGGTGGACAGGCCGCGCAAGGAGGAGGGGGTGGGCCCCCATAGGCGTCAGGGGCCGCATCTGTAACGGGAGTGGTGGTGCCCACCTCTCAGATGGGTGGGAGGCTCCCACGATTAACACACAGCAGTTCTTTGTGATTGACTTGAAGAGCCGCCACACCGCTTTCTCCCTTCAGGGCCTTTGCTCCAAAGCTGCCTCCTCCAGGAAGTCTTCCTTGATGAACAGACCCTTTTCTGATTACTCAGTGCCGGGGTTTGTTCGTGCCTTCAGAATAAAGGAACGTGCAGGTCATTCCTGGGCCGTGGGTACAGGAGGGGACAGGGGGCCGGCTGAGGGGCGGGGGTGTTAGTTACGGGGCTAGTCAGGGAGCCCTCACACCTGGAGGACCTAAGGTGAGCAGGGGGCTTCAAGTGGGGGACCAGCCGATGCGGACAGCACAGCCCCACCTGCAGGAGTTCAGCGGATGAGGGGCAGTCGGAGAGGCGGGGGCACTTGGTGAGGCCGGCCGGCGCGTGGGCCACGGTGAAGCCCTTCACTCTGAGGAGCTGCAGGGCCGGTGGAGGGTCTCCCCTGGGCAGGAGGGCGGTCTGGTGTCCCTGTTAGCATGGCCTCTCGTGCTGCATCGTGGAGAACAGGCTGGAGGCGGGGCTAGCTGGGCCAAGCTGAGAGCTGCGGGGTTTCCCCTGGGGCAGCAGCGGAAGGGACCCCTCTGCTCACGTGACAGTGGGCCTGGCTGTTTGCGAGGGGTGAGGTTTGAGGACTGTGAGTCTCTGTTCGATCTGAGCAGCTGCCCAGGGTGGGGGGCTGTTTGCTGAGGGGACAGGTGGGGCGGAGGGCGCCAGGCACCCCCAGGTGGACAGCCGTGGGGGTGGGACCGCGCGAGGCCCTCCAGGGAGTGGGTGCCGTCGCTGGGGGGCAGTCAGCGTTGTCAGGGTGCACAGGCGAGGCGCCAGCAGCAGAGACCCAGGCTCTAGAAGGGAAGGGACCAGAGCGTCGAGGAGGAACTGGCTGGCTGTGCCCGTTCCTTCTGAGACATTATACGGGGCGGGGGCCGGGGATGGCCCTGGGCTCCCTGGGGACCCAGAGCTGAAAGCGTGAACGTAGGGTCCGCACGCGGGGGTGGGAGGAAGTGCAGGGATCTGGGGTCCGCATTAGGGTCTAGCCTCCCTCCTGCCGGGGCTGCTCCCCGTGGACCCTGGTTGAGCATCCTGCTCACGCCGGGCTCCGCCCTCTGCGGCCGGCCCGCCCCGGGTGCAGGCCCCGGGGAGTGCGCCCACGGTCACTGGAGGGCGGGGCTCAGGCCCGTGTTCTCCCGCTGGAGGCACTTCTGGGACCCCCACCCGCAAGGCCCCTCAACCCCCTTCTTGGGTACCAGTGCTGCCCAGGAATGGGGCCCCCTCTGAGCGCCCCTCCCCGGCCTCTGCCCTCCAGGCACGAGCTTGCTGCAGGAGGTGGTCTACCTGGTGAGCCAGGGCGCCGACCCCGACGAGATCGGCTTGATGAACATCGACGAGCAGCTCCCGGTCCTGGAGTACCCGCAGCCGGGCCTGGACATCATCAAGGTACTCTGGGCGGGCGGCACCCAGCGCCGTGGCCTCCGGGGCGCCTCTGCTATCACATCGCGTGGCAGCTCCTCCTCAGGGGCTCCGGGGGGCTTGTGGGCAGAGGAAGAGCAGAGCGGCCGGTACCCCAGGTGGCCAGGAGACAGGCCTGAACCTGTGACAGTGGCCCTGGAGTCAGGTTGGTGGGTGACGTGGGTGACTTCGAGGCAGAAAGGAGGCAGGGGCCGGGCGTGGGGCTGCACCCGCTCCCTCCCTGTGCTTTACCCCCTGTCGAGGGAGTCGGGTAGGATGCATTTGCATCAAATATTTGGTGTCCAGAATGAAAGCAGCATCATCCCAAGGTGCCGCCCGTCCTGTCCCTCAGGTGTATCTGGAGTTTTCTCCCCGCCGTCCCCTCGGCTGCCTCTCTAGTTCAGGTCTCACTTGGGCGTGGCCCGCCCGCCCCTTCTCCCACTAGCTCAGCATTCCCTGTTAGCGCTGTCACTGTGAAGGCCATGGCCCCGTGGGCCGGTCTCTGCGCCGACCTCGGAGTCCGCCCAGCTACTCACCACGCGGGCTCCTCGTGTCAGCGCTTCCCCTGAGCCCGTCTGCAGAGCTGTGTGGGGTGCCCGGCGCAGGCCGGCGCGGCTCGGCACTGGGGCGCAGCCGAGGGCCCACTGACAGAAGCCACACACTCCCGGAGCTGACCGTGTAGCCAGGGCGGCTGGCGGGCGAGGACGGCAAGGAGGCATGGTGGCTCCAGGGCAACCAGTGCCAGGCAGGGAGCAGCTGGGCGCCCCCCGCTGGGCAGGGCAGGGCGGGCCTCGGCGGGGACGTTGAGCAGGGTCCAGAAAGAGCAGAAGAGCCGGCCGAGTCGGGGCAGAGCGACAGTGGGCGCAGACCCCTGAACCCTGGCCAGACGGCCTGGCCCATCCGGGAACCCCAGGAGGACCTGGGTGCCCAGGGGGTTGTGGGAAGCCGGCAGCCCCGGTGCCTTGTGCCTCGGGCTTCCTCTGCTGCCCCTCGAGGCCATATGGGCCTCTGGGCAGACCCCTGGGACTGACAGGCTGGCGCGGGGCGGGGTGCCCTAGAGCTGGCCGAGTCTTGCTCACTTCTGGCCCAGGATTCAGCCTGGAGGGTGGTCACATCTCCGGTGAGAAGTTTGTCGGGTGGAAAGCTGGTCTGTACTGTCCAAAGCCCTCTCCACCTGTCTCCTCTTAGAAAGGCTCTGTGACCTGTGTGTCCTTTGACCTTTGACACCTCTCCCTGACCCTGCTGCAGGAGCTGACGTCTCCCCGCCTCATCAAAAGCCACCTCCCCTACCGCTTCCTGCCCTCTGACCTCCACAACGGCGATTCCAAGGTAATTATCTGCTCTCTTCCCTATGCTCCCCCTCACCCCCGCCCCCCGCCGGGTTCCTAACAAGGGCAAGCACTGGGCTGCCACCCTCATCCGGTCCCAGAGACCCAAGGGGGAGCAGGACCCCAGTACAGGCTGTGTCTCTAGCATTTTATTCACGTTTCTAGCAGGGGTTTTTCCTCATGATTGAACTTGGACTTGACCAGCCTAAGTCCTGCCTCTGCCCATGGAGGACTGAGGACTCCAGGCGGACTTTTCCCATTTTCTCAGCTGCATGAGGGTTCTGGCGCCTGTTATTCTCATCACCAGTGTCAGGACCGGAGGTGCCCTGCCTTCCGCTGATATTAAGATAGAGCCGGAGGATAGAAATACAATAACCCGCGCAAGGAGTTGTCCTAGCAGGTGCTGTTGCAGGGACAAGGTCACGTCCCCACGGAAACAGCAAGAGCGCAGGGCCTTTGGCCGCGGGGCACGTGGGGCGGTCTCGATGCGGGACCGGGCGGTGTGCCTGTGGAGGGTGGGGGTCTGTGAGCCGCACAGGCAGCCGCCGGGGCGGGCGGGTGCGGGCATCGGCGCCTCACCCGCCCCTCCCATCTGTCCTCCTTCCTCTCCCTCCTCAGGTCATATACATGGCTCGGAACCCCAAGGACCTGGTGGTATCCTATTACCAGTTCCACCGCTCGCTGCGCACCATGAGCTACCGGGGCACTTTCCAGGAGTTCTGCCGGAGGTTCATGAACGACAAGTGTGAGTGTGTCGGCCTGCGGGATGGCGCCGCCGCGGCGCCCGTGTCCGCCGAACGGCAGGCCTGCCTTCCTGCCCGCAGCCACGCGCAGCTGCGCAGGCATCCTACTCAGAAGCCCTTCTCTCTCGCCATGGTGTTGGGGTTCTGAGAAGTTCCCCGGTTAAAAATGTCTCTTCCTGTCTGGATTCCCAGCAGTGAAAATGGCGGCCCACGCACCTCGGTTGTGGGTGACAGGCCAAGTGCAGGCCGTAGCTTCATGTGAGAGCCCCGTGGCCTTCCGCTGGATCTGAGGACCGGGCAGGCTTCGCCCCCAGCCCCAGGCCCGTGTGACGCAGGGCAGGGGGTACACTTCGGGGGAGGGGAAGGCAGCGCTCTGTGCAGGAAGCTCGTTCCTAGGGGAGAGGGTGAGCTGGGGCTGAGTGTGCCAGGGTCCTTCCTATGTCCCCTCCCGGCGAGAGGACAGGGCCGGGTCACACCTGCTGCACAGGGACTGGGTCAGCCAGCCTGTGCCAGTTCCGCTCCCCTCACCCAGGGCGGCTGCCCAGTGACCAGCCGTGGCTTCCCTGGGTGCCCTTCCAGGACCGCAGTGGGCGGTTGAGAGTTTGCACCAGAAGAGTTTTTAAATGGGTCGTATTCCTGCTTTACTTAAACCTGCCCCGAAACTGTTGTGTCCCCGTGTATGAAAACATGCTTCCTGTTTGATTGCCCAGCCCATGTGAGGCTCAGCCTCGGCGTCCACGGTCCGGCCCAGCCGGGGTGCTGCCCGGAGGGCCTGTGATGAGGTTAGGACCAGGTGCATAGCGGACGTCTGGGAGCCGGGGCCGCCGACCCGCAGCTGCCCAGTGCCAGCGCAGACTGCCCCCCCCACCCCGCCGACCCCGTGTGTGCAGGCTCCTGCAGCATGGTGCCTGCAGGCCTGGAGCCACACTGTCCCCTGCCACTGAGCCCGCTTCAGCGGAGCCTGGGATGGGGAGACGGGCCGGGAGAGGAGGGGCCCAGAGGCGGCCACGGCCCCCGCACCCTAGTGCGCCTGGAGCCTGCCAAGGGCTCTCTGCCCACTGCCTGGCTTAGGTCCTCAGGGTCTGCAAGGCATTAGGAACAAGCTGCCCTTGTGGTTCCCAAAGCCCTGTTTTCCAGTCCCAGCATGCAGCCCTGTCTCTGTAGAAGCCACCTGTGTGGGAACAACGCTGCCATAAATAGCAGGTGTCCTGCAGGTTCAGATCTCCATGGTGTGTGGGGCTTAAAGCTTCCTGCTCAGGCCAGAGCACTTAAAAGTGATCCCAAAACAGGCCTGTCCACGTTGTCACGGTCACAGCACTGTCTAGCACTGAAGCTCAAGGCCACGGACTCTCTGTGGTCTCGCAAATTGTTCCCTTTACTGTCTGTTCCCAGCCATTGCCCCACCCACATCTGGGCTCCAGGGAGGGCCCTTGCACGCTCTTCTCTGTCCAAGGTCCTGAAATTTTGATGCTAAGGTGCAGGGGTGGGGCAGTGACGTGGCACCATTTACTGAGAGCCAGGCCTGGGAACCACTGAAAGAGGCGGCCTGTGGGCGGGCGGCCTGTGGGCGGGCGTTGTGGCGCAGGTGCTCTGGGGCGTGCCCGAGGCCACGAGCCTCTGACGGGGCCATGGAGGAGCTGTGCTCTGGGGGCTGGGTCGCCCCTGGCGCGGGGCCCTGCGAGCAGTCACTCACCCGGGAGTTCACCGGGGTCGAGCGCTAACCTCCCGGGGCAGCGGGGCTCTGTGGAGAGAGGCAAGTGGGGGGGCCTGGGGAGCCCTGCCCAGGAAGGCCCGCCCCTCCCCGCAGCTGCCAGCCAGGCTCCGCTGCAGGCGCTCGCTGCTCGGCGCTCGCTGCTCCCGTGTCCTCAGGGCCCGCGTCAGCCCTCCTGTCCAGCTCCGCCTCACACCCCCAGCAGTCACCATGCTTTGCGAGCCTTCTCGTGGACGAGGGGGTTTCTGTGCTCTGTGTTGACGGCCGTGGCGCCTGCCTTCCCAGGGCCCAGGCCGCTGACCCACGGGCTGTCGTCCTCTCTCTGGACTCCCCCGTCCTCCCTAGAGCAGAAGGTGCTTTGGCCGTGTGTTTAAGGCCTGGTGTGCAGGGGCGAGTGGGGACGGGCCAGGCTGGCCACAGGAAGGGGGCGAGGACTGGTCTCCAGGGCCCAGCAGCTAGGACCCCTGCGGAGAGGGACCGCAGAGGGGCCAGGAATTACTGGCAGTGGGTTGCAGACAAGGCCTCGGGCCAAATCCCTGTGCTATTTCCAGTCCTTCCTGCCTGTTTGCCCCTCCCCTTCCAGACCTCCGGCCTCGTTCTGAGCAGGGCTTTCTGCTGCGATCTATTCCTTAAGGCCCACCCCACAGCGGCCCCTGACCCCTGATTGACAGGACACTTGGTTCTCGCCCGACCCCTCAGGAGCTGTGGGGCCAGGCTGCTGCTGTGCTGCCACCTGCTGGCGAGATGGTAGACCAGCACTGGCCAACAGGAGGGGGAGCAGTCCTGTCGCTCCCGGCGGGGCCCGGTGCAGGGAGCTGAGTCTCCTGCACCCCCTGCCAACCCTGCCAGCAAACCCCCCGGCCCTGTGTCCCCATTTCTCTGGGTACCATTTTCTTCCTGGAAGCCACTTGTTGAACCCAGAATCTTGCGGGTGCCAGGGACCATCTGTGTCTCAGGCAAGCGGGGGCCTTCACCCCAGTGTCAGGTCGTCAAGTCACCGAGAAGGCGAGGGAGGGACCGCGTAGAGGACTGTTTGCAGGAGAGGCGCAGAGAGGGAGGCGACGAGGCCCACCCCCAGCCAAGAGCTTGGCTTTTCCTCCCTGAGTCACAGCCCCTGGGCAGGAGGAGGGGAGCCTCGGGAGGCAGGGAGCGAAGCCACCCCGTATGCGTGCCTCCCCCCTGTGCTGGGTGACTCCCCTGTCCCCCTGTCTCCACAGTGGGCTACGGCTCCTGGTTCGAGCACGTGCAGGAGTTCTGGGAGCACCGCACGGACTCGAACGTGCTGTTCCTCAAGTACGAAGACATGCACCGGGTGAGTCCTGCCAGGGCCTGGGCCTGGGCCGCAGCTCCTCACGCGGGAGCCCCGCGGTGGGGGTGAGTGGGCGGTGGTCCGGGGCGCGTTGGAGCCTGCTCGCCTGCGAACCCGGTGTCTGCGAGCCCCCGCCCGCCCAGGCCTCGGCGTGGGCCCGGTGTGCCGCCTGCCCCCTGCCGGAGGCCCTGCTTGTTTTCCTGCCCTGACCTCGCTGCGGCCGGCACCCTCTCCACACCAGGCGACCGGCTCGGGGCCCAGGGCTGAGGTGGCCGGCTCCAGGTTGGCCGTGTCTCGGCCTGTTGGCCCTGGAGTGGCGGCTCCGCACCCGCCGAGAACCCCGGGGGTTTACTTGTGACGCAAGTCCCGTGACGAGCGTGGGGAGGAAAGGGCAGGCCCGGTGGGCGGGGGCGCCGGGGCGAGGAGCAGGGCCTGGCCTGTGCCCTCGGGGGCTCGCAGTCTGGGGGGGGCCTGACTTGTCACATGTCACGTCGTCACCACCCTGGTCACCAACGCGTCGAAAGCCCTTCCATGCACTGGGTGCCGCCCGCAGCTCTTGGCGTGTGCTAGCGCACGTCACTGCAGGGCAGGCCGGCCCCTCTGCGGGGCCCGTGGCACCCAGAGGGAAAGGATCTGGTGGTTCTCCGATCGCAGCACAGACAAGCAGCCTCCCCAGCCCTCCTCCCTCGGCAGTCTCTTCCCTGTGGCTCCGCTCCTCTGGCTGGGGAGCCCCTTGGCGTTGACTCCAGGCCTGAGATGCCCCAGCCGGGCTTGTCCCTGGACCCCCACGCGCCTCTGTCAGAGTCAGTGCTCAGGACGCACGCCTCCCAGCCTCCTGGCGGCACAAGACCGGTGATCAGCACGCTGCCCCGCGCCCCTTTCCTCCAGGCTCGGGAGGCGCGTCCGTGCTCTGACACGGGGCCGCTCACCGCCGGCCTCTCAGAGGCCCTGGCGGGCTCCTGCGCTTTGCAAACCTGCCGGAGAGGAACCCACGCCCGGCGTCTGCCTCCTGTGCCTGGGCTGCGGTTAGAGGGCCGCCTGTAACGGCTCGAGGTCCTGGGCGGGGTGGTCCGAGATGTGGGGACAGAACGTGCGGTCCCTTGCGCAGCGAGTCCTCGCTAATGTCACCGACAGGCTCTGTGACTGAGCAGAGCGATGTATCGCAACGCGGGTGGACCCCAGGCTAATGGATGTGAGCAAGGGTCACGTTCCTAGGGCGTCTTACCAGCTTGTAACAAAACAAAATTGAACACAGGGACTTTGTTTCTCGAGGACCCGCTGTTTGCCCGGGGGAGAGTGGTGGGCGTCGGGGGCTGGAAGCTGCGCTGAGGCCCTTCGATGAGTCCGTCCTGCTCCCGCTGTCGGGGGCGCTGGGCTCAGAAATGGCTTTCTGCCAGCGGGTCAGCCGTGGGCGATCTGGCTTCGGCCACACCGGCTCCCACGGGGCGAGGGCTCCCCAGGGCCCGCCCTGCTCTCCCCCATCTGGTCCGATTCCAGCAAGGGAGGGAAGGGCAGGGAAGAAGAGAGGGACGGGGCTTTGCTCGCGGCGCGGTCCGAGGCGGACGTTACTTCTGACTGCTGTTTTAAAACGACCACAGCTACAGCTCCTGTCCGCTTCCAAATTCCCCCAAAGACCTGGGTTTGAATCTCAGATCTGCCGCTTGAGAGCTGCCCGTGGGCCATTTCCTAGCCCTGGGATTCCATGTCCAGGCAGGACCCGTCTCCGGCTGGGCTCAGGACCGAGCAGGCAGTGCACGCAGAGCCCCCCACGGCGTCCAGCCCAGGGTCGGCGGTCAGCAAAGGCACCGCCCCTGACGGGTGCCCTGCCCTCTGCTCTTGTCTTCCAGGACCTGGTAACGATGGTGGAGCAGCTGGCCAGATTCCTGGGGGTGTCCTGTGACAAGGCCCAGCTGGAGTCCCTGACCGAGCACTGCCACCAGCTGGTGGACCAGTGCTGCAACGCCGAGGCCCTGCCCGTGGGCCGGGGTACGCGCCTCCGCCTGCCTTGCCCACGGCCGCGCCTGCCCAGGGGCCCGGGCCCGGCCCCTCCGGCCCCCATCCGCCTCCCGCCGGCCCGCGGCTCGTTTCCTCCAGAGCGCTCTGCTCTGCGCGGGACGCGTGGGGCGCCCGGCAGCCGGGCTTGTTCACGGCGCAGCGGAGTGCCCTCCCGCAGCCATTTGCATTGCAACGGAGCAGACGGGTTCCCGTCCTCAGGAGAGCCCGCCACGGATGCTCCAGCCTCTGCGGCTGGACGGTCTCAAGCCGGTGTCTTCCCAGACGGCCCCACCGAGCAGAGCCGGGGATGGGTTTGGGACTGTGCAGTCTCAGGGCCCACAGCGTCCAGATGGGGTCCCCGCCTTTAGCTGGCTGTGGGAGGTTACGTGCTGTGGACGGGCGAGAGTTCCCGTGCGAGGAGGTGTCGTTTCCCGCACCCACCCGTGGGTGCTGGAGCACAGGGCCGAGGGCAGGAAATGCAGGCCTCCCATGGGTGTGGCCCGGCCGGGGTCCCTCCTGGGGCAGTTTCTTGGGCGTGATGCTGTTTGAGGTAGAGGGACTCGGGCAGGCGTCCTCTCCAGACCCCCGTGCGGCTCTCGTGTCCCCGAGGCTGCTCGGCGGTGCAGGGCTCAGGCAGTAAAACCCCCTTGACCTGGAGTGGTGGCCCTGGCCCCTCGTGGTAAGAATGGATCGCTCTGACACGTGGCGGACGCCTGAGGCCACGTCCTGCCCAGACGTGTGTGATCCTGGGGCTTTCCCGGACGACGAGAATGTTTGAGGGGAGGGTGAAGCGATGCCGCCGTCCACCGCCCGCCTGCCTCAGATACGCAGGGAGGTACCTGGATGGTGGCAGGAGGGCGGAGCTGTCATTCAGCTGCCCTGCGCCTTTGGGGGGGTGGTTGCCTTCGGCCAGGCCTCTGTGCCTGACAGGCGCCCTGTTCGTCCTCTGCAGAGGGCTCATCTTGGCTGCGGGTGGCGCGTGGGCTGTTCGGAAGGTCAGGTGGATGGTGTCTTCCCGCAAAGGCAGAGCGATCCGCTTTTCCAGGAAGAAAACTGGAACCACAATACATTGCGATTTATTTCCTGGCTGCATCCTCACAAATACTTATGATTTAAACTCTGTGTGCTCTTTTTAAGTTTTGCTTTGGCTGTTTTGTGGCCCGCGGGTGCGACCCTCTCCAGAGGGCCCCTTGGTCCACGTGCGCGGTGGGGAGCACGGGGCACCCCGCGCTGCGCGTGCTCCCTCGGGCGCGTGTGTTTGCTTTGCCGTTGTTTACCTTGGTTTTGCTTTATTTCAGTTCTTTGATTTTGTTTCCTTTTAGCACATTGCCTCTGTGCTCGGAAGACCTCCTTGCCTTGGTGAGAATGCAGGGGCTCGAGTAGCCAGCTGCATTGCTTAAATTTGATTCATATCACAGCATAAATTGCACTGTCTTGATTCCAAATCCTAAACCAGGTGGGTGACTCCTCGGATGAGCTCTCAGCTGCCTCAGCTGAGAAAAATAATCATGGCAAAATATATTTATAGTGTGGTTGGTGTAGATGCTTCTAAATTTCTCCCTTAGGTACCACTAACCCGTAGCAGGAACAGTTTTTCTTGTTTTTTTCCCTCTCCAGCACCAACATGTCATTTTCATTACCAAAGAGAAGACCCTTGTCACGTTGCCTGTATTAGCTCAGTGTTGGCAGGGCAGCCGTTTCGAACCTGAGGTCCTGCCAGGCAAGGCCGACTGTTCACTATGGCGCCAGCGATGGGTATTTGCTGGAGATGCTCAGAGCTCTGATCTCAGAGATGCCGGCTGCCAAAATAATTCTGAACGAGCCTGTCAGTCCCCCGAGGCCGCTCCTGAGAAGCACAGCACTCGCCTGGCGGCTTCCCAGCTCCCAGAGCTGGGCACCCGGGGTCCCCACTCCTGACACCTTCACGGTCACCAGTTAATATTTGACCACCCCAGCAGCGGGTTTTGTAGTGAAGAAGGAAGTGGGTGGGTTCTGCAGTGTGGGGGTCACTTTAGCCCTCCCGCCTGCGTACCAGCGGATAGCCCCGCGCCCGCCGGGCTCCCCTGTGCCAGCCCCGCTGCACTGCGTCCCTGGCGCGGGGCCAGGGGCCCTCCCTGACGTGCCTGGTGTGGAGAGAGCAGTTCTCGCTGCCGCGCACACTTGGCATCCAGCCAGGAAGGCTAGTTGACATGGTGACTGGTCATTCCTCCCCGAGGTCACGCGGGTGGGCTTCTAAATCTCCCTCCTGGCCCTGGAGGCTTGCTGCCGCCGTAAAAGGTTCTGCCCGTGGGAGGATTATTTCCCCCTTTCCGCATTCTCCAGAAGTAAATGCCACCTTGGGGGAGCTGCTGAGCCGTGAGTGAGGAGTGATGTTGCGGGGGGGCCCCAACGCCACGTGGTGACAGGGGGGCGGATCTGCACCGTAGGCACTGCCCCGTCCGGGCGCTGAGGGTCAGCGCCCTGCCCGGCTGCGGGCCCAGCAGCGAGCGGGGCGGGGGCCCTTGCAGCCTCGGCTCTGTGCGGTCCCGGTGCCGGGCCACTGAGTGAGGGCAGGCCGCCGGCAGGACGGGCTCGGGGAAGCAGGGTCAGCTCCTCGGCAGCCCGGGTTGCCTGTCCCGCCCCCCAGGTCAAGTTTGGAGGGTCCAGGAATAGATATGGAACCTTCCCGATCCATCTCCAAGGCTTCCTCTGGCTTATTAGCTGGTCGGCAGCACGCAGATTCAGCATGTTTTCTCGTTTGTGTTTCAGGGAGAGTCGGGCTGTGGAAGGACATCTTCACCGTGTCCATGAACGAGAAGTTCGATCTGGTGTACAAACAGAAGATGGGGAAGTGCGACCTCACGTTTGACTTCTATTTATAATAGCAGCAACGGCGACCCTGCATGCTCCCAGTCCCCAGACGCCACTAGCTGCGAGTCCCGTAGGCGCGCATTCGTCCCTCACTGGACAGGCCCCGGAAGCCATGTGGACACGCGGGGCGGGGGCGGAGAGGTGGGGGTGGGCTTGCTGCCGGCTTGGAGCAGCTGTTTGCCGTGGGAGCCTGAAGTCTGTACGTGTCTGATTGCAAACATTGTCAAGATTGCTGTTCCGATGGCCGGTGCCATAAGTATAAAGTCTGTAACATATGCAACTAGAACGTCTGCCTTTTACAGCCCCACATTATTTATTGTATTTTATAGAGCTTTTCACTGGAAATCTAAATAAATGTCAGTATAAACCAAATAAAAGTTCATTTCCACGGGGACTCAGGAGCAAGCCACTCCCCAACGGTAGAGAGATCTCAGGGTGGACTCTTTGTTTTTGCAGTTTTCTTCTGTGAGGCATGGCCCCGTGTGGTTCTCACCTGACTGAGGGGAAGGTGGGGGCCCGGGTGAGGGGGTTGGGGGACTCTGTCTCTTCCAGTCGTGTGCACTTCTTTGCAACGTCCTTGAAATGAAGCGGAGACTGTTCACGAGGGCGTCTTCAAAAGGGATGCCTCTCTGCGAGACACCTCAGCTACTGGGGAGCCAGCAGGACGTTGCGGAAGGAAACCTGCTGGCAAGGCCGGCGGAGGGGCGTCTGACCTATGCAGCAACCGACCGAAGCGTCTGCCCTGGAGACACTGAGCGCTCAGCGTTTGCCTTCTCATTCACGGCCTTTTATTGCCTGAAGCAGAGACCTGCAGATGCTTGTTAGCGAATTTGCGGAACTCCTGGTCTTTCTCTAGCGTCGGCCGTTCCGTCCGTACCTGAGGCGCTCAGCCCCGGGAGAACCATTGTTGTGGTTTAAGGCCCTTTTCACTCAGACCGGTTGGCAGTCTTGCCCTTGTCTCTGTCCGCCCCGCACCACTATACCTGCGGGAGCAGGGTTGGTGTCTTTACACCCCTGTCCCCCAACACACCTGCTTTGTTTCCTGGCCCACGTTTGGCTGGAGAAGTGGCGGAGGGATGGCTAGGCAAGCAGCTTGTACGCGCATTGTCACCGCGGTGACTGGCTGGGGTGGCCTCGGGTGTACATGTGGCTGGGAAGTGCCCAGAGAGGTGGCCAGGGGTCACTACTGGGTAGGGAGTCTGTTCTGTGTTGTGTCTTGGAGAAGGTGTGTCTTGTGAAGGAGAGCGGCTGGAACTGGCAGGTGGCACGTGGCGTCACGTGGTGGGCTCGGCAGCACCTTTTCTGCGCATCCATGAGGGCGGCTGCTTTCTGTGAAATTTCTTTTCTATTTTTCTATTTTTCGTACTGTATGGATATGACTGAGCACCCACTTGAGATTTCTGTGCTTGCTTGCATCTTTAATAAAGACGTGTCCCAGGCCTGGTGTCGAGCGTGTGCTGATAGGGGGAGGGGCCCCACGCGGTACCCCCAGCACTTCAGGGCAATGCGAGGGTGCACCCCACTGACTCCCCATCCCTGGAGCTGACTGCACAGGGTCCCAGGCCCATGGTGGGTGTCTCTGGTCCACTCAGATTCAACTTTTAAGGGTTGAATTCACCTCATTTTTAGTCTGCCACCTTTGACATCATCTGTGAGCTGAGATGGAAGGCGGAGCGGGGAGAAGAGGGCCTGGGAGAGATTTGGGGGCTGCAGGTGTCTCGGCCTGGGGAGGCTCCATGACCAAGGTGCGTGCCTTGGGGTGGTGGGACCGCACTGCACTAGGAAGGCAACGTCTGTCTTCCTGGTTCCTCGTGGGAGGAAAATCCAGGATGTAGCTTCATCTGACAAAGCTCAGGCTTTCTGGGAAGTCATGTTCTTTTTTTCAATGGTTCCTTTAAGTCTCAGGTGAAATCCCAGAATTGATTTCAATACCTAGAATCACCCTAGACCTCACGTTAGTTTATGGAATATCCAGTCTGCTATGTCCCAAATCATTTATAAACACCCTAAAACCAGAAAGTGAAGGTAAAGCCAGTGAATCAAGAGGAAGGCAGTGGTGATCTGTGAGACCCCTCTGCCGGCCCAGCCTGGTTGCCGTTTCACCTTGTGGTACAGACTTGTCCAGCAAACACCCGAGCACCTACAAGGGGCCAGGGGGCCAGGCGCTGCTGTAGGCGTGGGGGGTGGTTCGTGGTGGTGAGCAGGTTGCACCATTGTCACTAAACCTGAGGCGAATTGAGGCTCAAGAAGACTTGAAAGACCCAGGAATCAATGTGCTCCCAAAGGCCCTGGAGAGTGAAGGAGGCGAGGGACCCAGATGCGGAGCCACCTGTGGGGGAGGCTGGGGTGGGGGAGGCGGGGGGGGGGTGTGCTGGGCAGCACACACAGCTCTGGGAGGGGCTTGCCGGTCCCGAGAGTTTGGGTTTTGTGCAAACAAAAAGGAAGCCCTGAGCGGGTTTGATCAAGGGATGCTGCCTTTTTGTTTCTAGGAGGTCCCTTGGGTGCTTGTGACTAGATTGCCGATTGGGGGTGGAGGGCCTTTACCCTGGTGTGTGATTCGGGGTCCACAGCACGAGGGGTGGGGCTGTATTAGAGCACCCCCAGGGCCGCCGTGACCCAAGTCCTTGGACAGTCCGGTTCCAAGCCAGCGTTTGTGGGCAGTGTGTGCAGACTGGTACCTGCGGTGCCTTCCTTGCCCACCTGGAGCTGGGACAAAGTAATTCAAGGCAAAAGGCGCTGTGAGCCTACAGGTAAAGCCAGTCTGGGGAACGGCGTGATGGGGTCGGGTAGCTGCAGCAGGTGCCAATGGGGCGCGGGCGGGCAAGGAGGGTGAGAGGCCCTGGCGGATTCGGTTTTACGGAACCACCGCCCCAGCGGTTCCCAGGGTCAGTGTGCCTGGCCTTCGGCCTCACGGGCCGCTGAGATCTCAGACGGGCTCTGGGGACCAGCGCAGGGTTCTGCTCCCAAACAGCTCCTCAGTGGGCTGGGACCATCTCAGGCTCTCTTTCTGGCTTTGATACTGTGCCACCTGGAGCCTGTCATTTAGTTCCTTAAATCATCACCCGACATGTCCACTGATTCTAAAGAGAGGGAAGGAGAGGGAAACATCAATGTGAGAAACATCAATAGATTGGTTGCCTCTCACATGCACCCCAACCAGGGGTCGAACCCCAACCTTTTGATGTGTGGGCCGACGCCCCAACCATCTGAGCCACCTGGCCAGGGCCTGTCATTTAGTTTCTTCACCCAGGAGGACCAGCACCGACTGACTCATTCAGCAGCCCTCCCTCCTAAGCAGGTAAGTCATCGAATTTCTCTGATGCGGTGTCATGATTTTCATCGTGGAGACAATGTTCGCCCTGCTCACCCCATAGCGTGGCCACAGGAGTGGAAGCACAAACAAAACCTGCGCGCTGCATCCTCTGTGCCCAGCGCTGCTGGCGGGCGCCCCCTGGTGGCCACATCGGAGTTCACAGCTGCTCAGCGAGGTCGCCCTCGAGACCGCAGTCTCTGTCCTGGGAGGTGTTTACCTACCTTTCTGAGCAAGGTGACCGCAGTTTGTAATGGGCCGGAGGGGCGGGGGAGGGCTTGTCCTTTGGTGTCCATCACGCTGCACTGCAAGTCTTGTTCTGCAGGATTTGGCCGCAGTCCTCCCCAGGTGACATCATCTTTCACTCATATAGAAGCAGCCTTTCAGACTGGGACAGCGTGTTGGCCAGGGGGTCCAGCCCTACTCAGCAAGGAATGTCCTCCAACATCCTGACAGCTGGACATCCAGTCCCTGACAAGCTCGTCACCTCCCCGGGGCAGCCGCACCGTTGCTGGTGGTCCTCTCTGGCCACTTCCGCAGGCCCTGGCCCGACCCAGGGCCTCCCTCACCTGGGCCCAGCAGCTCCCCACTCCCCTCTTTCATCCCGCCTGGCTCCCTGCTCCGCCCCCTCCGTGTACAGTGGCACCCGGAGCAGGGCTGTGCTGTGTCGGTCGTTCGCTAGGTGGCAGTTTGGCATAAAAATCAATGCTTTACTGCCGAGCGCTGTCTTTCATGGTGAGGGTGAGCTTCATTCCTGCTGAGAACCACCGACCTGTACCTTCCACGTGCCACTCTTGGTTCTGCCCCCGGAGGCTTTCCGTCCCCAGGCAAGATCCAGGCTGGTGTCCTGCCTCCTCACCCCCACCCATGGCTCTGTGCCTTTGTCCTTGTTTCTGTGATCTCTTTACTGTCAATGACCCTGGTCATTTGCGTTCTTCCTCTGGAATGCCTTTCCTGACAAGTCGTTGCCTCCCTGACCCCGGTGTGGCCACGGGATGGACCCCGGTTCTCTTTCTTTGCCTGACGTCTCCTTCCACCCCCAAACCCAGAAGCATGGTGTCCACGAACACCATCCTACCTCCTACACTGGGCACGCCTCCCCCTTCCTCTCTGTCCTTGGTGCTTGGTGTCCATTGGTGATGCCCAGAGCCGGGCCCACGGGACGCAATTTCAGTGCCTCCCCAGCCTTCAAACCTAACTCCCCCCTATTCTGTTCCCTTGGGACTCTGCTCTCGTTCCCTGAGTACATATGGAAAGAGGCATGGCGCAGGCCCATGCACTGGCTTCAGCAGTTCAGGCCCCCCGTCTGTCCAGGGGGTGTTTTGTGGTAGATGGTCTCTAAGGTTCAAGCCTCTGGTTGATGGCCCAGTGAGCTTTCCTGGCACCTCCAATGGGATACTGCCGGGGGCCAGCTCACGTGCACCCTTGGCAGCGAACAGGAGACAAGGTGGGGGCAGAGAGCCAGCACGTCAGAGATTCGCACCTGGACGCGGGGAGGCTGCTGAGTGTGAGGAGTGGGGCGCGCGCTGGGAGGCGAATGGGGCGGGAGCCAGAGAGGGGCACGCCAGGGGGGGAAACAGGACGCGCTCCAGGGAGACAGGGACCTGGTTCTCCTTCCAGCTCTGCTGCTGTTTGGGGGACCACAAGGGGACACCCCTTTTATCTCCTAATGAACAGGTCTCAGACCAAGTATCTCATTCCATCCAGCCTGAACGTTCTGTGACTCTCAAGGGTCAAACCGCCTATTGGCTCAACCCAAGAGGAGCTGATGAGCGGGGCGGGGGACCGTGAATTTTCAGCCGGTGACTGACTTCGCCAGCAAGGGCAAGGAGAATTAGTTGCAAGAGCACCTGTCACGCATCTTGGGCCAGCACAGCCATCTCCAAGGCTTGCGGGGCCTTTGCCAAGTTTACACGTCAAATGACAATTTCATTCTCACACTTGGATCCCTGTAAGCTACTTGGCACTGGATATCTGAGCTGCATTTCTAAACCTGTCTCCCCACCACGGATGGAAGGGAGCTGGGCTCTATGAAAAGCATGCTTTAAAACCAGAGAATGTGAAATGTGTCTAAAGCATAAGTATCAACCAGGAAATGCATCCCACCCTCCTTAAAGTTGTCATCTTTACCAGATTTGCGGCATTGGGCACCAGCTGGGAATGGAAGTCTTAACGCC